AAAGGTATTTTTCATTGGGGGGTAACTTAAAAGAATGGAAGCACAGTTATCAAATAGTAAACAAAGGTGAGGAAGAAAGTGCCATGAAACTGACCTGAAATATGCTGACGGTTCTTTAGCTTCAAATTCCAGGCAGTAAAGCAACAGAGGGGAAAGAAAATGAATGTGATTTGAAATAAGCTCCCAAGAAACCTTTCCCCAGAGAGCACAAAGGACCAGAACTGACTGACTCCTTTCGCTATGGTCATTATGGGCAAGGCACTAAGATGTGTCATTAGCTCTGGAGGGACTGTAAGGGGAAGCGGTATTCTGAGTGTCAGAGCTACAGACAGGATACAGCTTCCCAAATTCCCAGCTCCTAACTTAGCTAGGGCATAAGCAAATCTCTCACCACATTTTCCCACTATGGTAACATGTCAGGTCTATGAAAATGTCACTTTACTCAGCTGTTATTTACAGCTGTAATGAAAGATCTGGCTGAGTTATTTGACACACATCCACATTCTCCGCTCTAGCCGATAAGCAATATTTGCTTAACAGATGATTTATTTTCCCAATATCTTCACGTACTGCACATGACAAGTAATTTATACTAAACCGGATGAGATTATATTTGGAGGTGATAACAGTAAAAGCAGACCTGAGGTAGAAAGCAGGGCTTTATTGTTTCAAAGACTTGCATCCTTCCTGCCTATCCCCTCTTCTATTTCAAGTGGGAAATGAGTGCTGCTTTGCTTATTGTCCTCAGTGTTATACAGGAATGCAATGGAAATTAAGGAGCTATAAGACACCACCCTGGGTATAGCCAAGTTTTTCATGGTAGATGTTGAGACCCCATGAGTGTTTCCCAGAAGGGACATCTGTTACTGTTTGCAGATTAGGTGAGGTACAGAGTCTTCCCCCTCCTTTGCATTGAACCAAGGAGGAAGAGGAGCAGGTATGCATTTGGAACTGGACAGGGGACAGCCAGGTGGGGTTTGCCTTTGCTAGGCAGCGGATGAAGGCATGAAACTGAAACCACCACCAACCCCTGCTGCGAGAATCCCTGCAGAATCCTGCCCCACGGGAGTGGTTCTGAGGTGGGCCAGGCTGCAGCTAGATGGGTGCCTCACTCCCTGCCCAAGCCTGGGGCTTTCCCCAGAGCTGCTGGGACCCACATGTGCTTGGAGAGGAATGTGCCCTGCTCCGTGTGCGGGCTGCAGGTTGGCTCACGTTGGGGGTGCTGAGCCTTTCTCACATGTGCTTTCCCTGTCGGTGTGGGCAGGCTGGAAGTTATGTATTGCCTGGAAACCCTTTGATGGCCATGCTCCCCACCTAATCCCCACAAAATAGTCCCCCTTCCTGGAGCACTCTCCGTGTAGGATGAGGTGCTGGCTTTGTGGCCTAAGGGCTCTTCAAAATGGCAGGATTGTCAGGAAGAGGTGTTTTGGGTTTGGCTTTTTTTTTAATGTCAGCCATAAATCCAACAGGTTTGGTACACACACTGATGTGGACCCCGTTGTTGGGACCATCCCTATGCAGGCTGTGCCAAGGGGCAAGGCATCCTCCTCCTCTGCACTTGAGATGAAGCTGGAATCTCCTCCCACCATGCAAGGCTGATTCTGGCACCATACTGCTGTCCATCATAGCTCCTGAATGTAAGTAGAAATTGGCATTCATCTGACAGCTGATCCACTGGGATACAGTCCTGCAGAAGTCAGTGCTCAATGAGGCAGGCTTCAAGGACAAATAATTCTTTTAAATAAAAAGGAACTCACTGCAGTGGCAGAACTTGTTGCAATGGTGACAGTGTTGGGACAAGAAGTCTGCTCCTTCGAGAAGGCATGAATGATGGTGCTGCAGATGAATGTGATCCTGATCTCCCCTGATATCCATTAGGAGTCACGCTACTGAATGCAAAGCACTTATTTCAGCAGTTCTAGCCTAAAACTATATCCCAGGGCAACAACTGGGAAAACGCTAAACAGATTTGGCTACTTTGATGTAATTTCATTCCCTAACCTTCCAGCAACTCCTTCTTTCTGTGTCCTTCTAATATTATTAGAAATGTATTTAATTGTATTTATGTTCCTTTTGGCCCAGCATTACATGCAATGCCCAGAGAATTCAGCAACCCAGATCTTAACAATCAATTTAATCATGTTTCAGATTTAAAAAGCAGAACTAGGTAAAAGTCATCTTCTATTTTCATTGGGGTATTTGTGCTTAAGCACAAAACAACTGACAAATACCCTACATAGACTTTATTTGAAGAAATAAAGCCAATTTCTCCTGCACTGCAAGTAAAATGCAAGGGGAAAAAAAAGTCCCTAAATGGTGTTGAACTTGTGGTATTTATGACTCTGGCCCTAAATTGCCTTTCATATTTTCTTGGATCCCAAAGCTGTAGCCAAATTGGCTGGTTAAATGTGAATAAATGGTACATTGTCTTTGAAACAAAGTTGTGCTTATTAAAGAAGAGAGAGTTTACTTATTCGGGGTCGCAGTTCATAACACAAAGCAGAGAGAGCACAGATTTTACACACAAGAAAGCCTTCGATAAGGGCACGCAATCTCATTTCAGTCTGTACAAGATGAGATGTCCTAGGGCAGGAAAATTCTTTAGCATTATTTGTGAAGTTGGACAAAATAGCTGACTGCAAAAGAACACAACTTGGTTCAGACTGGTGATTCCGATAGGTCTGCAGTGAGGAACAACATGAAATACTTCCCACAGATCTGGAATGTTGTTTTCTTCACCTGACAGCAATTTATTGTAACTGTACGTACTAGAACTTTGGCCGTGACTGAGCTTATGTATGGTTTTATAGTATTAGAACACAAAGAGTACAGGCTGCATTCCTGGCTCTGTCACGTTTATAAGCAAAACAAACACTAATATAAGAGGCAATTAAAAAAGGCATGGCTTGGTGTGCAAATAGCTGCAATTATTGATTTGCCAATTCTGCATGCTCTGATGAACAGCAGAGTAGTGGAGTTAAACAGAAGCACATTCATGGATTGCATAATTGCTCATAGATCTGCAAGTCCTTGTTAAATGGCAAGATTAGAGCTAATTAGACAGTGAAATTTGGAACATGAAGCAAGCAAAGCTCACTGTGTTTGTCCTGCTTTCTTAATAACTGCAAGTACAGTATTTGCAGGGTGGAAATGAGAAGTGAAACTCTGTACAGTCAAACAGAGTGAAACCTCCTAGTTAGTTCATTATTGCATTGTACCACAGTCAGAGGTAAAGAGCACAGTCCTGCACCATTGTTACCAGCATGGTTATTACATTCCTGTTGCAATGTGATACAAAATCTACAGCAGGAGTTCCTCTGAAATGTGTAAAATGTTCATTTATGATCAAGTTAAACTGGAAAACTTAATTTTGCCTTACACAGACTTAGTTTCCCGTAGGAGTCAAGCACTAAAACTCTCAGTCTGAACGGCCCAAGAGCTGAAATTGTTTTTTCTCATGCTCTTTCATCTTCGGTATCTAAGGGCTTTCTTGGGAGGAGTGGTGGCCAACTGTCACATTATTGGAATGGAGGCAGTCATATCCCCATTACAGAACTCTGCAGACACCTCCACCCCAGCTGTTTTCTGGTCCAGTCAGTCTTCATTCATCTGCCTCCTACATTTTATTTTACAAACACACAGCAACAGCCTGATCCTGCCAAACCAGAGGTGTGTGGGCAACTCTTCGTACATAAACAGTCCCATCAAGACGGCACACTCCCAGGCATCTGCAGGTAAGGCTCAGTATCAGGTGGAGATCTGATTTTCATAATTAACACCTCACACCCTACACACCATAATTTGGTGAGAGGGAGTCGCTGCTCATGGGGAAGGTTTTGGCATGCTCGGGAGTAAAAGGCAGTTTTCAATAACATGCTAAAATAGCCTTAGAACTTGGGCAAGTAAATGAGGGTGTGAGAAGCTGTTGCAAAATATGTCTACTGGGAAGAAGTTTGAATTGTCACTAATCCATACATAGATAAAATTTTCCCATGGAAAGATTTATGCTGTAGTTTTTATTCCATATAGAAGCCCATTGACTGTGTTGAATACTACTGCAAATGCCTTTTATATGTTAAAAATTGAAAAATCCTCGGGGAAGAACTTTCATCATCCTTCAAAAACCTCCACCACCATTGCTTATGCCCCAAAGTTTGAGTTTTAAAAACAGTTTTTATAGCTAAGGGATAAACAAGATGAAGCAGAAAACAAGTCACAATAAATCTACCCAAATCCTATTCCACAGTCAACTGTTTCACTGGCACTGGACTCAGGCTAACTGAAATCTGCAGAGCTACTGCCAGCTGTCTGAGCTTACAGACCACTAACCCTGCTCTGCTTGGCCATGCATTGCACAAACCTTTCATACAGACTCATGCCACAAAACCCTACTGCAGTAAAGGGCACAGGCACGCAGCCCTCCCCAGACCACATCTCCACACCAACTTCCCGGACAGACATCCATCCCCTGCCCCAGGCTAACAGGCAGTTTTGTCTTTTCTTTCAGTAAGAACTCCAGTAAACGTGGCTGCACGCTCCTGACAAAACGAATGTGGGATGCCAGTGCATAAGGACGCCTGGGAGCCTGTCTCGGTCCAGATGGATGCAGCTCCAACCCGTATCTGCCAGGCAGGGCAGTGTCACTGAGAAGGAAGTACACTTTCTGTTCTTAAGATAGGCAGGGGAGCCTTTTCAGACCTGGGTTTCACTCTCACACCGTTCTTAAGTGTTGGCAGTTTGGCTGGGTAAACTCTTATGTGAGCCTGGGCACACCAGCAGTGATGCCAACACCAGACTGCAGCCACGATGGGGCACAAGCAGCCCAGCGAGTCCTCGTCTATGGGTGCAGGTGAACAGGCACTGAGGGGGGACAGAGCCGGGGTCCCCTGTCAGCAGGCACAGGCCCTTTCCCCGCTGCCCCCTATCCCAGGGCATTGCAGCCTGTCTCCCACCCAGGGCCCGGAGAGAACAGAGCCCAGCGCCCAGGGTTTGGCTCTTACCACTTTGCCGTCCTTGGCATCCCGCCGGTGCCCCGGGGCCGGGGGGTCCGCACCGCCGCTGCCCCCAGCTCGGCCCTCACCGGGCGACAGGGAGTAGAAAGGGGGACTGGGACTGGGGGGCAGCCCCGAGTCCGGGCTGTCCAGCAAGCCTTCCCGGCTCCTCTCCTTCAGGCTCTCGTCCATCCCTTGCAGCTGTAGGTGACCTACCATGTCTGGGGGGCAGCGAGGGGGCCGCAGCGGGAGAAAATCCTCCCGCGCCGCCCGCCGCGGAGGGAGGGAAGGGGAAAGGCGCCCGGCGGGCCCCCCCTGAGCCCCGATCGCCGCCACCAGCCTTCCGGAGCCCGGCGTGCGGGGGACAGCGCCAGCATCTGCCGGACCGGGCTACCCCAGCCGCCTTCCCGTTACCGTTCCCCGGCCCCCGGGGAATGGAAGCAAGGTCCGATCCCGCCGGGCAGGGGGACGCGGCTGGGTGCGTGCTGCGGGGCCCGGGGCAGCCCCGCCGGCAGGGAGCGCTGGGAGCGGCAGGGGACGGGGCCGGACGGACCGCGCTCGTCCGCAGGCTGCCGCCGTCCGCCCGCCCGCCGCCTCCCGGCGGTTCATTTATCCGGAGAGGGTGGGAGGGGAGCCGGGGAGCGCCCTCCCCTTCCCCCGGCCCCCCAGCTCTGCCCCGGCCGCGCGTTGTCAGGCGCTTCCCAGGCGGGGAGCGCGTTTAGCACCGCCCGCCCGCTCGCTTCACCCCCAGGCACCCCCCTGAGGAGACCTGAGGCAATCCCCGGCCACCGCGGTACCCCCGGCCCGCGGGAGAGGGGCCTGACCATCGCCCCGCCATCGCAGGGCTGCGGGTTTGCTCTGCTGAACTCCCTCTCTTCTGTCCGGGTTCATCTTTGCTTCTTTTCCCTCAGTTCTGTGTGATTTTTCCCTCAGTTCTGTGTGGTTTTCCCCTCAGTTCTGTGTGATTTTTCCCTCAGTTTTGATCTTTTGCCCTCTTTCACCCCCAAAGCAGCTTTCCCGCTCAGTGCCAAGGTGTGAAGGCATGAAGGAAGAATTCTCCTCAAGAGCCATCATCCCTCTTTGCTTTGAGGTGGCCGAGGGTGGCATCACCAAGGCAGCGCTGGCTACTGAGATTGCAAGCCCGCCATAGCCCCTGTGGCGGCCATACCGCCATGGCGGCCCTTACACCTCGCGCTCAGTACAGCCCAAAAAGCCATCTCTGTCTCCACAGGTGCCAGTCCACAACCACTGAGGTTGTGTTTGAGGTCACCATAAACACAATGGGATGGCATACAAGTACTAGCACAGCCGCTAGCCAGGAGGAGCAACGTGTGCCAGAGGCACTGCCAGCGCTGAGGGGAATAGAGAGTCCGTATCAGCCCTCGGGGTTTGGAGAAGCAAGCAGCGGTTAAACAGGTCAGGCTTGCTGAAGCCAGTGTGGATGTTTATTGCACAATAGCTGGCTGATGTTAACATTACCTTGTCCGCAGCCTTGTTATGTTTTTCTCGTCGTGTTTTCTCTCTGCACAGAGTCTAGACTGTGAGAAATCTGGGGCAGGCCCACTCATGCAGCTCAGCTTCATGGAGCTTTATTCACAGCCGCCTTCTCCTGAGCTGTTGGCCCAGCACCCAGCGGAATGGGACCGTGGCTTAGTGCTATGAACCCAACAAACACAGAATCATAGAATCATAGAATGGTTTGGTCTGGAAGGGACCTTAAAGATCATCTGGTTCCAACCCCTGTGCCATCAGTAGGGCTATCTATCAGCAACTTAGATTGGAACATGATGTTTGTTGTGGCAGCTGATAAAAATGTGAGGGGTCTGGTACTGCACCTCGTGATGAAGGCTTTCATACCTGAGCCCTGAAGATGGCACAGAGTCCTTGGAAGTAGGGTTGATTGTGAAACGGCCTGCACTCCATCCTCCTGAGGGAGCAGGTCACACTGTATGGTGGAAGGTGAACTCGACAGCTCATAAAGCTGGGTTTGTTTAGACATATTCTTGCTCAAGTCAAAAGGAAAGGCCAAGGATGCCCAACTCCATCCTTGATGAAATGAGGGGCCCTCCTCAGAGTGACTGAAGTGATCTGTGTGCACTGAGCTGTGCAGAGGAATGTCACTGATTTATAAATGTCAAACAGGCACCGAGCAGCCCACACACAAACCTCTGTGAATTCTTACCTCTGACCCGCTCAGCGGCTCCAGCAGCCACACAGGCTGATTTAGAGCCCCTCACTGTAAGGGCTCTAATGTCTCACACAGGCTACAGCTGATCTGAAAATGTCAAAGGGGACCAAAGGTCAAAATTTCCATAAATTAGGCCCTGGGTTGCTACCTATCACGTAATAGGATTCTCTGGCCAGTTAGCACTGTGAACTCGGGCATTCAGCACAGCAGTTCCCCTCCAGCCCTGTTCCCCTGCCCCTCTCCTGAACTGGCAAGACTGTACGTGCAAAGGGAAGGAGTGTTTTCAGAGCTGCTTTCCTCCAAGAAGAAAACAGGAGCAGGACAAAGAGACAGTGGACAGGGGTAAGTGCACATTCTTTACTCCTAGAAAGGTATATTTTAGCTTGGGGAGCAGGTGAGGGAGACTTTTTTGTCTGCTTCTTGTTTTAAGGTCTATTAATCCAGTTTTTTGAGGAGCTAAATGATGTATTTTTAAAGGTAAATTTCAGTACAGTACATGTGTTCAGCACAGAAGTGGGTGTTCATGGTTTAGGGTTCGCTGAGCATTAAGAAACTGAAATACTAAGCACTGCTGAGCATCCCCAAGCATTTGCAGAGGTATTGACTTCACTTACAACTGACAGAACTGCTGCTGGGTTCTGCAGGGCATGTGTGGTAGTATTGTTATTACTGTTGTTGTTCTACAGGGCCTGTGTGTGCACATATTATGGTGGTGGTGATGTTGTTGTTCCTATTTATGTTTCAGGTTACTGGTGGGTTGCTCATGCAAGAAGGAGCTCTCTTGTGTAAAGTGTAGGGTGGGCAGGTGATGAGAAATGCTGTGATGGAGGTGACTTGTTCTTTGGTCACAAACCCTCCCGAAGCTACAATATTCATCTCTTGGCCAGTGGAAATTTGCCTGAATGGAAACTCAGTGAAGGGTACAGTGTGCAGACACAGGTTTATATATGGGGCAGTAGATTTAAACAGGACGTAAATATTGCACGGTGCCCTACTGAAGGAGAAAAACAAGTGAAGGATTTTCAGTTGGGGCCTTGTTCTACTGAAACCCTCCTTAGACCAGCAATTCTTCATTTGCTGGGAGGAATCACTAGGGACTGGTACATTCCTGTGTCTTGGCTAGGGAATAGGGAAACTGGGTCCTTGTGTGTGTGGTGGGACAAGGAGGAAGGAAAAGTCTGAAGGGAAGTTTTCTGAAGCAGCTGAGTATAGACAAACAGGTGCAAACACAGTGGTACAAGGTAAGCAGTGTGTGAAGGCATGGGCTGTGGGACAGTGGCCTCTACTATCAGCACTAACTCTGAAGGAATAACCTTGTCTAAGTGGGAATTTGAGTGTAAACCAACAATAAATAAGAAGTGGAGAGTCAAGTAACAGAAAAGAGAAAATTCCGCAGGACCGTATCTGTTGAGATTCACTCTCAGGCAGAAGTGTAATTCTGACAACATAGATTAAAGAAGGCTTTATGGAGAACACATTTCTCGGAGCTACTCTAACCTTATTGTTATAAAATCCAGTCCTCAGGCCCAGTCTTGACATGGACAAAGAAATACATGTGAAGAAAGCCCTGTGCTTTGCTGGGAGCTGCAGGGGCTTGCTGCTGCTCAGGACCAGAGACCTCCCATGTGCCAGCCTGGTGGCATTGACAGCTCTTCTCAGGTAATGAGCAGAGCATCAGGGATGCAGTGCGATCTGCATCCTGGCTCACTGAGCTCCATTCAATTGTGTCTGAGGTTTCCAGGTGAGGCTTCACAAACCAAAATGTGCTCAGGTGTTTTTGTTCTTCAAAGAGCCCTCAGTTAAGGGCTATGACTTTATGCACATGCTTGGATGTTTGTTCCTCTTTGCTACTTGCTACTGGCTACCTGGCACTCACATCTGGCACTCCTCTTACTGACGGTATTCCTGGGATCCCCTTGCAGCCTCTCAGCAACCTCGACCTTCTCTCTGCCCTCCTTCCCTGTGTCCAGGTTCTGTCTGGGCTCCTGTATCCAGCACAACTGTCTTACAGCATCCAACAGGCTGAATATCCCACTAGTATTGTGAACAGTCGGATCAAAATGCACGAAGTGAAGCAGAAGTGAAAGAGGGACTCTGGGCAGTAGGTGCAGGAACCCAGACAGCCTTCTTGGTGTGAGCAGCCCTGCTTCTGGATAAAAGCTGGTATCCCTCCTTGAATCCACTGGGATTCAAGCCTCTCCATGCTTTGATGAGTCCTCTGCCTTCTGTTTTCCTAGCTACTCTCTTAGCTAGATTTGAGTACTTTAGGGATCTGCCGTCCCACAGACATGGCAGAATGTCAGCATCACGTGCTAAGTTTCCTTTCACTGCTGCCAGGCTTGAAAGACAAATACAGTGAGGGAAGAAAGAGACAGGATACAAACACCTACATCAGGACTTTTTCTGAAGCAGGCTGGGTGGCAAAATGGGAAGAATGCTAGGAATGTCCATTCTGGTTCACTGTCAAACCTGATCCTGCAGAACACCCACAGCGTAACTAGTCCCAGTAAGAATGGCTTGGGCCATAGATGGATGTAACTATTGTCTTTGGTTCCCTCCAAAGAGGTGCAGCCTTTCCTCTCTGAAGTCTTCCTTACAATTATGTTGAAAGGTACCAAAGCAGCAGCATCACTGGGGGGAATGTGACCACAGAATAGGACCCAGGTACATGAGGCCCAGATCACCCTTGCCTGGCAGCTTACAGAGTTGTTTACGTCAGTCCAAAATGATCCAAAACATGAAGGTGGCATACCACTGCTCACTGAACAAGTGCCAATGATGGATAAAGAGAGGAAACACATCTGGAATGCTGGAAATGGATTGCCAATCCAGACAGGCCAATAATAATTCGTTTTGCAGGGCAGAATGACAGAGTTCAAATCAAAGGAACCTTTCTGCCTGAAAAAGAGGTCATTTTTTGAGAGATAAAATCACCTTCTGAGAGGTCTACTCATTTATTTAGGAAGCCCTCACGTCAGAAATCTTTTCAACCTGGACTCTGAGTCTTGGCTGTCTAGTCCAGTCAAGGCCACAGCCCAAAAGGGAACAAACTAACTAAGATGCTTGCTCCTGAGAGCTTCTCCCAGGAGGTACCTGGTCTCATTGAGTATCTTCAGGTATGGCTTTGGCAAGTGACTACAGGGGACTGTAGCTTGTTCCTGTCTCCTGTTAGCACTGTGCCAGTCCTGCACTGGGGGAGCAACCAGAATACTATGCATCTCCCTCAAGTTATGGCTGCATCTGCCCTGGCCCTCTTGCACTCTCCAGATAAACAATCCCTTGTAGCAATGACTTGGAACAAGCTGTCTAGCAGGAAATGGTGATGAAATCTACAAACTGTCCTTTCTGGGATAAGGAGTGCCTGTTCTTCACCATAAATCAAGGAAGGAAATTTCCTTTAAACATCCTAGGCATAATGTAATGACAGTGCATCGCCCAGGCAAGACACTAGACTTTGCAGCTGAAGTAAAGGATGATCTTTGGAGAACATGCATAAGGTTATATGAAGATGTTGCTTTCTCACATTTGACTGCAGTTTGTGCAGTTTACGCCACAATCAAGGCAAAAAAATAACTGAATGCTGTATCATAGACCTAGCAAAGGGTCTGAAGTACCATAAAGACTTCTGCTGACTCTGCTTGCCTTTGAGTAGGGTACTACATGCCGAGTATTCAATTACCTGTTGAGTCCAGTTGGCATTTGCTGATATTGTTACATACTTGAGTCAAAACACAGCTCCCCTCCTCACTGCCCTGGAGAAGGACCTGCCTGTTACCCTGTGAAATTTCCCCTGCTTGTCTGTCAGGGCTGCTGGGCTGTAATCTTGGAGGATAATCAGCAGCGAAACCGTTCATAAATCACAGCTAACAGAAAAGACGCCGATAGGGTCTTAAATTTCAAGCCTGCGAAGCCATCATTTCAACAATGACAGTCAAAGGGGAGATTAAGAATTCTTTTACATGGAAAAGTTTTTCTTGGAAGAGCAACCCTCTCTTTGGTTGCCTGTAAATACAGTCATGTGGATTTGATTTTTACATGGCCCTTCTGCCCACTTGCAGGGAAGGCTCTGCAACCCCGATGGGCCTGTTCTCACACCGAACTGGCGTGTGGAGGGACTGCGGTGGGATTTGACTAAGGTCTCAGAAACAAAGAATTGAAGCTTTGCCCGGTGCTAGCAAACGGGCTGCCTGTTTAGGAGGCAGTGGCAGGAACTTTGCGAGAACCAGACCCCTCTTGGCTGCAGTCCACCATGCCTCTGGGCCCAACTGCAGAATGGGAATAAGACCAGTGCCTTGTTTTATGGTGCAAGTAACGCATTCAGAGATTATCTGTACTTACACCTCATGGTGTTTAAGGCTGTAAGGGTATTGTGAAGTCTGTTGCCAAAAAGTGAATGCAGGGATGGATTAACACTCAACCTGGAGGGTAACTGATCTCTCTCTGATCCAGACAGAGTCTTGTCTTGCTTTGTTCATTGGGACTAAGTGCTATACTAAGGAAGAAAGGAGGGAGAGTGTCTCTGTGTAGTTCTTGCCCTCCCTGCTGTGGATGATGACCAGCAGTGCTCACAGTTTCTGTCTTCAGGTTGAAAACAGCAAGTCTCAGACAGGCTCTACACTCATGGTCATGGCTGTCCCCAAACAGCCCAGCTGGAAATGGACTCTGCCTGTTCACTGCAACTCTGGGATAACAAACATTTACAGCATGGTTTCTGTTAACACTAATGAGTTCTATTAGATTAATTACTTAGAGTGAGGTCTGACTTAGCTGCCTCCCTTTCCATCTATGGGGCAAAGTAGAAGAGCTAATAATGATGTTAAAAGATGAGTCTACTTGCTCAGATCTAACCATGTTCAGAATCACTGGTGGACAGCTACAGCTTGCTTAGCACTGCAAGTCTAGTGGTTAGGTTTCCAAGGGTGCATAGCACTGATGCCACTGTGGTAACTTGAACCACAAAGAGCTTGAAAACTGAAGGGATTTAACTTCTGGTCTGTAGAGGATTTAATGCCAACCTTGCCTGGGGCATTCTCACTTTCTGATAGGTTCATGTATTTAGAACTGGCTTATTAAATTAAAACCAGCAGATGAGTTAGCTCAGTTAAGCTACCTGAGGTTGTGGAGCCTCAAGGAACCCATTTTATAAATGAAGAAAAAATATCAAAACCAAATCCTCCTTCATGGAAGGCTTTGGTTTTTTGTTTGCAAAGGAAGCATCACCCCTTACTCTGAGAAAATATAAAGCCTGGCGATGAAATCCTACAAAGAAGAGTTGGAGGAATTCAAGCCTGAAGAAGAAGGAATGGGAGCAGGAGAAGAAACACCATGTGGGGCAATACAGTCTGCTAAGTCACATAATGTTCTTTCCTCCAGTTACTCTTCCATTTAGAGTGGAGACTAGGTGGCTTTCTGCTCTGGAATTTCTAGATATATCCTGTGTTTTCTACTTCTGTTCTTCTAGCCTGGTTAGTTTTGTGACAAGCAAGAGAAAATACCACAGTGGGAAGGACACTTCTGTTCTAAGCGTTGTTGAAGAAAAACAAGAGCACACCAAAAACTCCTCTGAAGAATGTAAAGCCTCATTGAACAGCTTACAGATGAAATTCTTTTCTCAACAAATAGGTGTCATTATAAGGACTCCTACAGTTCATATTCTTGGCTAGCTTGTTATGATAGTGTTGTGTCTGTTTGATTTATGACAGATTATTCCTTCCTGTAATGTCTAGCAATCACTGGCACATTTCTTCTCCAGGTATCCACCCGATTTAGCACATTTATAAAGCTTAGAAGAACAACCACAGCTCTCAAATTGCCTGTTGAGATGTGGCATGATGAAAACAAGGCATGACACAGTGACATGTGAGGGACAATAGGGGAGATGGCTTCACTGATCTCTTAGCTCTTATTTCCTACAGCTCTAAATCACATATGACGTGAAAGAAATGCTTTGTGCACCATATGGTGACCTGAGGATTGGAATACCATCTTCCTCCAAGAGCAGCAGCTGTCAACTTGTCACTTGTTGAAGAAAACCAAGACAAGCAATTTTAGCCAGCTTAAATTCACTGTGCAGGAGCTGCATCAGTGCTGAGTCCACAAATGGAAAAGGAAAAACCAGTCAGAACTCACTGTCCTAGGGACATCTTCAAGTTAGAAGTCTTTGGTTTCTATGTCTAGTATAATACCCCACTGAAAACCAGTTGCTTCATGATCTCAGCGTGTCTCCTAATAAAAGAATGGGAGCTGAGAATTGAGCCTTCTTAAGTCCATAGATGCTGGAACTCAGTACATTCATTGCTAGAGGTCATTTTGCTGAAGAGTTTCCCTCTTGTTCATCCTTACCAGCAAGCTCTTAGCAGACCCCCTCACACCCAGCCCTCCCCATGGCTTCCCAGGAATAACCCTGTGTCACTTGGAATCTACTCAGCCTTTTCTGATTTCTGTACTAATCAGAGACAGAGACTGACCTCCCTGTACAGAGGGACTGACATAGGTACCTCTCATCAGGGTATGACCGTGCTGTATCCAGCTGCTGAACAGATGGGTCTGAAACAATATCCCTGGGCATGGGATTCAGGCTGCTCAGCCAAAGCTCCCTGCATTTACCTAATTGCCATCAAGGTTTAGCACTGGTACATTTCCAAGTGTGGTCGCTTGTCCCCTGACAACTGGGCTGAGACCACTGGAGTTGTCAGCTAAATTACCTTGAAGTGATTTAAAGCACTACAACCCAGACCCCATGATGCACACAGCTCCCATTTCCTTTTGTATTTCTTTAATAGAAAAGTAACAGGAAAAGCAATTACTGGCCATATGAAATGTCAGTTCATACAGTATTTCCTACAAGACTTCAAGCAACTCCTTGTTAAAGCAGATAAGTTAATCTGTCTTTTGGTTCAGGTCACAGTAGGTTTTCAGCTTTAAATCACTGTGGCTCAGTAACTAATGGCATTTGCCATACAAATGATGCTGAAAAAACAAGGAATCTGGGTAATTATTAGGTGTATATTTCCGGTGAAAACAATCCACGTGAAGACAGTGTCAGAGAAAAGGGTGATTGATCATCTGGATTCTGCTCCCTTGTGTTTTCCTGTGCACTTTCTCTGCACTGTAGTCTTAACTGTCAGGCAGTTACTGTAATGAAGTCTGGTAGTGGGCTTTTCAGCCTGAGGAGCTGTGTTACTCTCAGGAGGGGCTCAACAGGGCATTGTACCCGTGGAGGCTGAAGCTGCACAGCAAGAGGAGCACAGCCCCTTCGGGCATTCAGCTTTCAGAAAGAGCAGGGTAAGAGCTTTACCAGAGTTGGGTTTTTTCCACTTTGAATTCTTGCTAAAATGCTGTATGTTCCAGTCTTGACTCAGAGCTCATTAAACTCAATGCAAAGACTCTTGTTGACTTTAATGAGCAGTTTTGAGGTTTGAACCCTAGAGCTACTACATGATCAAAACTTGTGCTGAGCTGTAGGTATGGAGGTGTTTTGTTTGCATTGCAGATACAGTATTTGGCTATAAGGCATAGATGCTTGGGATTGTTTTCTGTATGGTCTCTGCTTCTTTCAGGTGCCCAATAGTTTACTAGATTGTTTATAATTACAGTTTTGTTTCTTAGGTTTAAGAAATTGGCCAAACTCCATCCCAATGTAAAACAGAAGCAACTGAATGCTACTGAAGTTAGTGAATGAAATTTGGCTTCTCTTACAATATGTATAGTTTTGTTCAGCTGTTGGCCACTGGTGTGAGAGAGCTTGTTCTCATGGTACATCTGGTCCACCACATGCCACAGCACCATGAACCTGCAACACAGATTTTGCAGTAGGAAGGGCAAGTCCATGAAGCAAAAAAAATCAATGTGCAACAGAAAAAAAATGTGCAATGCACACAGGTTTTATTTCAAGCCTGCTCAGGGAAAAGAAATCAGGGACAAAAGCTAAGCTTGGAGCTCAGAACTTCCCACTGAGTGCTGTCGCTCTGAACAGCCTTTGGAAAGGTGTGTCACTTGTTCTCTAGACTGCCACAACACCCTGGGATGCCGTAAAAATAGCTGGCAGTGCCTGACTGACAGGCAGGAGACGTGTGACCCTAAATTATGATGTTTTCCTTTTCATGATGAAATGAATGCTGCCTTAGACAGGGCTGGAATACATCTGTTTGCGGTGGGAGTGCCATTTTAGGCCCGTTTCTTTTGAAACTGGGGTTGGAACTGCCAGGGATCAGCAGAGCTATGGGCTCACAAAGAGGGCACTGTCTGTGAGGAATCTTTACATAAGCCCTGTACAACCAAGGCAACAGGAGTTTGCACAGCTGCTGCTGGAAGCAAACATGTACTTTTAGCTGACCTGGGCTGATGACTTCTGGTGTTAAATCTGACGCTTTCCAGATGTACAGACCTCTCCTGCCACAGTCCCAAAACATTCAGTCCCCAGGTAAAAAGAAAAATAATAACAATAATAATAGCAATAATAAAAGGGCACTATAAATACCACATCATAGTATATATTCCAGAGCTGACATTTACACATTGCGTGGCCCAGTTCGAAGGTGAGTGGCATTACTCTCTCCTAAGGGCTGTGTTTTGAACCACACTTGATTCAGAGTTAGTTAGTGCTGCATCTATCTTCCATCTCCCCTCTGGTTGAGCACCTTCTTCAGAAAAGGTGCCTAAATATCTAAAGCTCTTCCTACCTGCTGGGAATTGGCAAATATCTCTGTGAGCATAAGACTCCCAGGGAATAGACCTCAATTTGTGCTGGGGCTCAGGACTATTCACAGGACAAAGGCATCCTGCCAAATAGAGAGCAAATTAAGTTTCATGCTTCATGGCAAAACAGAACCTTGAACATCAAGGAACAGACTTATAGGGATGGGATGCTGGTGAAGTATTGTCACTGGAAGAGAGACGGGGAAGGGGCTGGCTGCTCCCCCACACCATGTCCTGACTTCATCTGTGCTGCTGCAGGTTACAAGCTCTGCTGCAGAAATCACTAATGACTGCACAGCAGCTTCTGGGATGACATTGTTCATTTGATTCTCAGAAGGAAATGGAACCTCATCTTTGCTCCAGACCCAGTATAAATTGTTTTCTTCCTTAGACTGGTTATTTTTAACGATTCCCTCCTCCATGCATCCCTGCAGCCCTTGGATGTTGAGATGTTCTTAGGGAATCTGAGGAAGGGCATGGGGTGCCTCAAGAAGATCGTTTATTTTATTCCATTTTATTTAGGTGTGGTATTTAGAAAGGCTCCAAAATTGGCAGCAAGAGAAAGGCAAATACTCTTCTGAACTGGAGACCGCCCTAACACAGGCAGCTGCAGCCCAGCCTCAACTCGTGCTCCTGCCAGTTCTCTCAAGCATGACCTGGTTTGAGGACCACCTTCAATGAGATCAAAAGGTGATTCTCCCAATGCTTGCTCCACATGCCACTTTCACACTGCCTGTCAACTGGGTGAATTCTGGCCTCCTTTAGTTGAACCATGAATAACTCCAGGGAAGATAACAGTGCAATGAAGGTCAAATGAGATCCAAGAGAGCCTATAAAGCCCCAGAGATGTGTTCTTGCCATGGTGAGCATCCTGGGAAGTGGCTACTCAAAACTATCTCTTACCAGCTGGCAATTCTTTAATTTCTCCATCCTGGAGGATTGCCTGTTATCCTGGGAAAGGATCCTGGAAATTCAAGGCAGACAGCTGCTGAGAGAGCCATGGATGTTTGGTGCTCATTTCTGCAGGGTTTTTCAGTTACAAAGCAGCAAGCTTGTCACATATCCTTTCTTCCTCACTTTTCTTGTTTTCTTACTAATTACAGTGTTGTGAAGGGGAGGTTTGCTCCCTTTAAACCTTTGTTTCTCTCTCTGGCTGTGAAGAAACACTGATGTTCCATGTTTTTCATGGAATAAAATTTCAAAACATCCTGGTTTGCAGAGGGCAATAAGTTTTACTCTGGCATTTTTGATGAAACGTAAATGTTTTGCCGTGATCCAGATTGCCATTCTTCAGTTTAGTCAGTTCAGTTAACCCCAAAATCTTTGCTTTAATTCCATTCAACTGTGAAAGTTGGCCTTGAATTGTATTTCCTCCTGGAAGCTCTCATCCAGGAACTTAATACCCATGTTTTTCAGGGCATAATGCTGCTATCATGTCTCACAGACCTTAAGTCCACTATGCATCATGGCAGATGTCATCCTCCAGGAAACAGCCTGCAGGAAAGGGGAGCCATCTAAACCACAACCCCAGTGAGGCAGTGTCCTTATGGAGGAATGAGGGTTTAATGCTTTATTGAACACATTCAAACCAAAACAGTTTTCTGATTCTGTTCCAACTGGCCCTGAAGAAAGTAACTGCTTCTTGATTTCTTAATTTAAAAAAAGAAAGAATACAAGTGTGGTTTTATTTCGTTATTGTCAGGAAAGAGGGTTCAAAATCAGGATGTTTTTCTCCCTGAAAATTTCAATTTTTGTGAAAACTGCCTCTTTACTGGGCAGCCTTCCCAAAGGGAATCCCCAGCCAGCCCCAGTGCTAATATCAGTGCACGCTCTTTGGAGCTGATCCAAAGGTCATTCACTCCGCTAGACATTTTTATCGTGGACTTGAGTAAACTTTGGACCAGGCTCTTTTGGCAGGAGCATACAATCTGGAAACCTAAAAATAAACCCTGATTTGGACCATCCACAGCTTTTCAGCAACCATGATGGTACATAGGTATAAGCTTGTCAGAAAGATGATGAGGTGATTTGGCCACCTCTGTGGCCAGACTATCTTTAGCTGTTTGTTGAGATAAACACAGGGGAAGATAGCATTCTACAGGCTCAGTGTTAGGAGCTCTTGATGAAGAATTTCCCTGCGAAGTGTCAACTCCAGAAGGTTCAGATGGAAGATGTTGTCTCAAGAGATGATCTGGTTTTCTCTTCAAGAAGTTTTGCAGCAGTAACAGCTTCTGGAAAATGTAACACTATCATCCTCAGTCCTAGGAAGTGAAGAGTTCCCTCCATGATGCACTGTGTCTGCAACAGTAGTTTTGGGGACCAGCAAAAGGTGCTGTCCCAGAAGAGAAGAACTGGTCAAACCTCAAAATTTACACTTTATTTGTATCCTGTCCATTTGTATCCATGTTCTGAGAGGTTCACAGGAATCAAGAGTGAGAAGAAACCCCTTGGTCACAATGAATCCTTATCCTCTCATTTACGCTGCCCTTTGCTATGCACCATGAAGAGATCACTCTGCAAATGCTGACAGCAGATCTCATGCTGTAATTGCCATGCCTAGCCTTTCACCTGGAGCCTGCTCCAGCTCTCTGTGAGGACCTGGGTTACAGCTCTGTGCAAAGAAAGCAAAGCGTTTCCAGCATCTTGACTTTACTGATGCAAGAGTTTGGTTGTGTCTGTTCCCACTTGCTGGCTGATGAATCACTGGCCAAACACAAATCACTGGTCACTTGCTGCTGCTGAGGTTGGAGGAGTGGCCACATTTGCCACAAGACTGTTTAGATTCAAAACAAACAATAATTATCATTTGCACAGTACATATTTAGTAGTGTAGATGTAGTAGATATATTCAGATTTATGCTAATTTTCATGATCTAATGCATCTTTGACTTAATTGGGAAAATAAGTGTGCAGAAAATTACAGGGATTTAGGCTTTATGGGCCCTGCTCAGCATCAGTCTCTGTGGGGTTGCTCTTCTGAAAAAGGCAATTGCAATGGAGGAGCATGCTTGGTATGGTATATAGGAGGATACAGTGAAGAATAGGTGGTTGTACCATGTCAGGATATGAAGTCAGAGGGAGAGACAAGGTGATAAGAAGAGATGAAGAAAGTTGGAGGCTCTTGTTCAGGTGGCAGTGGGCTTGTTTATGCTCACAGACTGTGGTGGATGCCAGTTCCGATTCCCACAATGCATCCTGTTGGAGCAATGTTGTCAATCCAGAGGGCTCCATCTTCAGCTGGTTGGTCCATTACCTTCCTACACATCTTTTTCCATCCATCTGGGTACCAGATACTTTGTTTTCTACCTGCAACAGGAAAGATTTTGGCTTATCCATGAGGTTCTTTTCAGCCACTCTTTTCTGTGGGTCCTTCATCAACCAGTTGCTGTGATTGTCCTGATTCCCAAGACAACTCTCAGAGCTGCAGCAGACTCTGTTTAAGGGTGTTAATTTGTGGCGGTAATAATGCTACAAATGTGTAGCTTGTTGATCCTGGACTGCAAAGCAGTACTACTGCCTGGCAGCTACACTGCAGGAGCTGGCAGACAGACCTATTTCCAGCACGCTTCTCTGAAAGGGGAAAGGGTGTTTTGCTATTTTTTCTTTCCCTCCCTCTTCTCCAAGTCAGAGCCTGCCAGGAAGCTTTGGAGAGAAGCTCTGGTGCTTGTCTGTGCCTCCCAAGCTGAGTGTGATGGCTGGCCTCTTTACCCAGGATTTGAGCACCCAGTAAATGTTGAGGTATCACTGTAGGCTGAAGGTGAGACAAGCCCCCAGGACCTGGGGTGGAGTAGGAGAAGAAATGGGGTCTTTCCAGTGTGTGGTCTCCTCTTGCCAGAAGTCAGGGTCACTTCTAATCAGCCATTGGACAAACAGGCTAATCCTGAAAGTGGGAGCCAGGGTGTCAGATGTTTGTGTTGTAACACATGGCCAGGAACATCACACACTAACTAATGTGCAGCTATTCTAAGGCTACATTTTGCATCTGCCTCAATGGAACTGTCCTATCTGAGGGGGAGGCAGAAGCTGTAGAGAAATGGGGCTTATGAGCTGTGTCTCTCACTTTGCCACTATCCCTTCTACAAGGAAACTTGCAAACCCTTTTGGGGAGCAGCATGTTGTGCTAGGCAAAATCGTGTTGAGTGCATAGAGCAGTTAAATGTGTGTGTTAGGGGCCACCTTTTCATTGAAGCCTGGTCTCATTTCAGTCCCTCCTCCTGAATGTTAGGTGTTCAGAGACTTAGCTAAAGAGGAGTGAAAATGTGCCAGGGGGCTTTGCTGGGGCTATTCACCAGCAGAACAACTGTGCCAGCAAATTAGGGAGAAAACAAATAGCACCTGATCTGTTCCTGCCCAAGGGCAACATTCATTTCTGCATCCTGTTTGCTCTGTAAAACACACTTACACACGTTACCCTGTGCAACCAGCTACACAAGTGCTGTGGAGCCTTTGTGCCTCCTGGGAGACCTGGCACTATCTTTCCTTGGGATGTAACTGAAATATTATCAGTGGGGCTCACTGTGAATTAGACATTGCTCCATGGCAGAGCTTTCTGGTTTAGGTCAGTTTAGGACATGGCAAACGCAGAGCACAGAATGGCCATCATGCAGATGCTCCGGCGTTCCTCTGGAATGTTTAGATTATCTAGAGAGCAGCTGCATCATTCATATTGGGGCAATAATGGAGAGCGGATGCTCCCATGGCTGTAACTGTTTAACCCTGCAGGTGTCCATAAGGGAGCAAAGCACCTATCCAGTGTAGTTAAGGTGACACCACTTCCTATCTGCCAAGGGCACCCTCATGATCTATGAATTTTAGGCAATCCCTTTATTAATTTACTCTTCACAGCAGTAACATCTCTGACCTGGTTCCAGAGTGTCCTTCACAGCTTATGGTATCAGATTTATCTGTCAGTGCTCACATGAAGATAGATAGAAAACCCTTCACTCCTTATTGCAACAGCATGGCTTTGGTTTGGAGCTAGGTTAGCATGTCAGTTTGCCTGCCCATAAGAGTTTGCACAAAGTATACCCAGAGCACATCACCTGTCCCTAAGGTATGGCCACCTCAGGGTGAAAGACAGCAGCTCTTTCATCACGCACTTAGTGATAGAAGAATATAATGAATAGCTAAAACTTCAGAGGGAGAACTGTGTTGGCAAAAGTTGATTGCCCTGTTTGAAAATAGTTGAGAGAGAGAGAGGTTAATGCCCAGGGATTGTACAGGCACAACCTTTGTTTTCCAGCTGCTTTGATGTCTCAATTAGCAGATCTCAGAGCAAGGACCGGGGGAGCAATTTCTTGGCTGTTTCCAGCTTCTTTCTTTTGGGGGCAGGCGGGGAAAGGTTTATTTATTAGAATAGGCAGGACACAATTAAACTGAGATTGTTAAAGGAATTCAGAGCCTGTGGGATTTCTGACAAGGTGATGAAAGAGGAACTCAGATAGTTATCCAATCAACTGCTTTTTTCCAAGAACCTAAAGTAAAAAAAACCCACCTAAATTTAAAAATGAGGATTTTTTGTTTTTATGAATGGGTTCTTGTGGTGTGCAGGCTGCTAACACTATCAGCATTGTTTCTGGGGAACTCCAGGCATCTAATCAATCTTCATTCTGTATGAAAATGTTCCAAATTGTACGAAAACCACATGGCTTCTCCTGTTTGTAGGGAAAAAACCTGACCTGACCCCATCTGTGCTCCAGAATGGCTGAGTCCCCATCTTAGGACTAATTCCAGCAAGAGCTGTGATCTGTTTTCATTGTCCTGGCACTCAGAAGAAGGCACTTTGTGTAAGGATGCACCTTTCCTTAGGAAAAGAGAGAGTTTTTCCAGGGAACATGTGGAGCGAAAGATGGGGTTGGGATCATTGCAATGCATATCCAGGCCATTCCCAGGCTTTTCATGTCCTTTAGCATGTAGAGGTCAGGGCAGATGCATTCCTGGTCTTCACCTGGTTGTAGCGAAAGCACTGTTTGCCTCACAGTGACTACTCTTATTTACTCCATCCTCTGAGAGCTGTGTCCTGTTACATGATGGGGGCAGAGTTTAGAGTCTTTTGGGTCAGGACAGTATCAGCCACTGTTTATGACACCTCTTGGCTGCCTCCAAGGCCAAGTTCATTGCCTGTGGAGGCTGTAACCAGCAACACAGCTGCAGCACAGCTGGAGGCTACCCCTCAGCATACTGCAATGCCCAAGCAAGCCCAGACCACACAACGTTAGCAGCTTTCCTGTCTGCCCCCTGATCTGCTCAGGCAGGCAGTCTGCTGCCCAGAAGGCCTTGCTATGGGAAGGGAGACAGATCAGCCTGGAGGCTGTATCCAAGGCCATTCTTCAATCCTCTGTGTAACAGCAGGGGACAGCATTGAAATGTTTTGTGGGGGGCAACTTAGGGTCATTCCAGGATTTTCCAGTTGCAAAAGGGGGGCAGTGAAATGAGTTGTCCAGCATCAGCTGTCAAGGCAGAGCCATAGTTTTCCCAGGCCAGCACTACAGTCCTGCCTTTCTAATGATCTGTTTGAGCTTGTTTTCCATGGAGACACCTTGCTGC